TGGGTATATGAGCAGATGATGGGTGAATGGACAGGGATGGGTGGATGATGAGTGGTGGATGGATGGGAGGGTGGGTGGATCCAAAGGGGGAATTAATCCCAGCATAGAATGGGAGCCCAAGACCTCTCTTATTTCACGGTTCATCATGTAGGTGGGAACATGTTTTAACCCTTCCCTTTCCCACTGCCCTCTGTTGGCTGCTTCCCAGTTCCTAAATTATTAGCTCTGAAAAGGGGGGACTGGGGGAGTGGGGGAAAGAGTGGAGATGCTGAGCCTTTCCCATGTGGCCTCCAGAGGCTTCCAGGACAGACTGTGGCACCATGGTTAGCAGCCAGGAGCAGGTTAGGACATTATGGTGTCTCCCTAAACTAAGTGGGGTGCTCCAGCATCAGGGAGTCAGGCGCCATCTGCTGAGGGAGGGCCTGCTAGGGGCCCGCTCGGGCCAGCCTCTGGCAAACACAAGAGAAGTTAGAAATAAAAGTAAAGACATTCCATTCTTCCAATAGACAGGGTCTTAAAGATTATGTCACTGGAGGTACGCTTGCTTTACATTTTTTGCTCTGGAAGATGTAAGGGGAAAAAAATCATGAATGTTTTCATTTCTCTGTGATTGAGAAAACTCTTAAAATATTAAACTATTGCTTAATAATTGATTAAAACTAATCTCTGTGGGAGCCAACCACCCATTTGGTAGGAGCTCTTTAAACTTTTAGGGGCTTTTAGCTCCCCCTGGCCGCCTAACCTTTCTCTTGTCTGATTCATTCTGGGCTGGGCAGACGTTTGGTCTCTTGTGGATTGATGATGTCAGGATGCTTCTATCGGGCCTCGGCATGGCTGATGAGGCTGGATTTCGAACAAGGAACGTCCTAGGGACACAGTGTCTGGAGAGGCAGTGAGGGAAGAGGGAAGGAAGGTCTGTGAATAATTGTTCGGCAGCTTCTAAAACTCAGGATGGGAGGCACAGAGAACAGCCTGTGGCCTTCAGAGTCACTTAAGTTGTCTGGACTGAGTTTTCCCACACAATGACAACGATGTCTGCCTCTGCATTTTCCCAGAAATGCCAAAACCATCAAGCAAAGTGGCTTAGAATGTGGGCGCAGGCATCCGACTGCCTGGCTTCAAAACTTCCCCAGCAAGTTACCTAATGTGTGACCTTGGACACGCTTTTTACTTTCTCTATACCTCAGTTCCCTTATCAATAAAGTGAGGATAGTGATATTAATAGAACCCTCTTCTGTGCAGATGAGGTGAGGCAATGCACGTGACGTTCTTAGCATTGACCGGGGCTGGGCAAAGGCAGGTCTCACTGTGTATTTACTATGCTTATTAAGAGCTCAAAGGAGACTGGATTTTAAAACAGCTACTCTAAGGCCAGGCGCAGTGGCTCACACCTATAATCCCAGCACTTTGGGAGGCCAAGGCAGGAGGATCACTTGAGCCTGAGAGTTCAAGACCAGCCTAGACAACATGGCAAGACCCTACCTCTACAAAAAAATTAGAATTTTTTAAAAAATATATTTATTCTGATTTTCTTTTGACAGAAAAATATTTAGAAATTAACTGGGTGTGGTGGCACATGTCTGTAGTCCCAGCTGCTCAGGAGGCTGAGGTGGGAGGATTGCTTGAGCCAGGGAATTCAAAGCTACAGTGAGCCATGATCATGTCACTGCACTCCAGCCTGGTGACAGAGAGAGACCCTGTCTTGTAAATAAACAAAAACAACTACTTTGAAGAAGGGATCATTGGGTGAACAACTAAGCCTTTGAAACCAAGCAGTCCCAGCCGGGCGCTGGAGTCTCTCTACAGACTTCTCCACTTAAAATGGCCAAGCCAGAGGCTGCCTTTTCTAGGGAGCTGTGGGGTATTCCTGGGGAAGACCAAGGCCGGGGGGAGCCAATGGTGGAGGTCGAGGGTGCCCTGAACTAAGAGTCACGCTGTAGGCTTCACAGCAGCCAAAAGAGGGCTCAAAATGCAAAAAGAATAAATAGAGCTCAGGCTGCCTTTCTCTCTCTCTCTCTCTCTTTTTTTTTTTTTTTTGATAGGGTCTTGCTCTGTTGCCCAGGCTGGAGTGCAGTGGCGCAATCGTGACTTGCTGCGGCCTTGACCTCCCATGCTCAAGCCAGCCTCTCGCCCCAGCCTCTTGAGTAGCTGGGACCACAGGTGCATGCAGCCGCGCCTTGCTAATTTTTTATATTTTTTGTAGAGACAGGGTCTCACTATGTTGCCCAAGGTGGTCTAGAGCTCCTGGCCTCAAGCATTCCTCCCCTTCGGCCTCCCAAAGTGCTGTGGCATGAGCCACACTGCACTCAGCAGCCTTCCCTCTCTTCTTCCCCTTTTTGTCAAGACAATACAGGCATGTGACTTTATTTATTTATTTATTTATTTATTTGAGACGGAGTTTCGCTCTTGTTACCTAGGCTGGAGTGCAATGGCGCGATCTTGGCTCACCACAACCTCCGCCTCCTGGGTTCAGGCAATTCTCCTGCCTCAGCCTCCTGAGTAGCTGGGATTACAGGCATGCGCCACCATGCCCAGCTAATTTTTTGTATTTTTAGTAGAGACAGGGTTTCACCGTGTTGACCAGGATGGTCTCGATCTCTTGACCTCGTGATCCACCCGCCTCGGCCTCCCAAAGTGCTGGGATTACAGGCGTGAGCCACCGCGCCCGGCTGTGACTTTATTTTTAAAAGTCAGATTTAAAAACAACCTAACAGTACAAAGAGGTTTATAAAGAAAAGGATTCCCTCCTGCTCCACCTCTCTCATCCCCCAAGGCAACCTCTTTTGACGGTTTCCATTTTAAATGATTGTGGTGGTCACCTCCTCGTGTCCAAATAATATGGCTATCATGCTGCTGCTTGATTTATGGACTTTAGAAATGATCCAACCACCTCCTGCTGTGATCGATGAGGACTCAGCTCACCGGCGCCGCCACACCCAACCCCGGTTCAATTTCTGCGTCTACCTCTGGTTGCTCCACTGCTTAGTTGCTAACTTGGAATTCCATCTGAGACCTGGCCTGAGGCCGTCACCCGTGGGCAGCGTGCAGTCTCCTCCTTGTGGATGGAGGTGCCACCGTTCCTGGGCCCTCCCACGGTTTCCTCAGCTCCTCTCTACGTTTTTCTGCTGAGGTTGGAAGTTCTCTCCTCCTGCTCTGCAGGGCAGCCGCCTCTGGGCCTGGTGCGCCGGGCGGGTCTTTCCACTCCACCGTGCGCTGCAGTGTTTGTAGGGCCCCGCACATCCGGGCGTGTCCTCCCTGTGTCCCCAGCTGTGCACTGGACACGCCCAAGTCACCCTGGCCTGGACCCTTGCTGATGCGTCCCTGCTGAGCGTCCAGACCACTTGTGGCTCTGGATGGCTTTCTGCTGGGCCACGCCTGTGTGGGGAGAAGCAGCTGTGTCCCTATGCGCCCCTGCGCCACCGTGATTTGAGGTCTTGGACTCTGTCCAGGCTTCTCCTCGAAGCTCACACCAGCATCTTCATATCTGCCTGGCGCAGACTTTTGTGTTTCTGGGTTTCTCACGGCCTTTCTTTTCGCCGCTGCTGCCTGGGTTGTGCCCTGGAGTCCTGGCGCCTCATGGACTGGGGCCTTCGGGTTCAGGCTGAAGCTCCTGTCGGACCAGGGGTGACTCCTGTATGCCCACGTGGGTGGCAAGTAAGGAGTAGTGTGGGGCAGGCTCTGGGCAGAGCCCAGATCTTCACGGCAGTGGCCAGGACCTGGGGGCAGGTCCTGCTGGCTCCCAGGGACTGCCCACGCCACCAACTTCCAGAGGTGGAAGCTGGTCCCATTCCTGGAGCCTCTGGCTGCCACGCTGGACACACACACGCAGGACCCTGTGCTGCACCTGGAGCTGACCAGAGCCCCAGGCACTCCCTACACCCGTGTCCTACACGGCCCAGGAAGCACTTATGCACACGCTCACACAACACACACAACATACAACAACAGACACTCAGTCCACACGCACCACACGGCACACCCCACACTCAGTCCACACACACCACACGGCACACCCCACACTCAGTCCACACACACACCACACAGCACACCCCACACTCGGTCCACACACACACCACATGGCACACCCGACACTCGGTCCACACACAGACCACACAGCACACCCGACACCCGGTCCACACACACACCACACAGCACACCCGACACTCGGTCCACACACACCACACAGCACACCCCACACTCAGTCCACACACAGACCACACAGCACACCCCACACTCGGTCCACACACACACCACACGGGACACCCGACACCCGGTCCACATGCACCACACGGCATATCCCACACTCAGTCCACACACACCACACAGCACACCCCACACTCAGTCCACACAGAGACCACACAGCACACCCGACACCCAGTCCACACACACTCAGTCCACACAGAGACCACACAGCACACCCGACACCCGGTCCACACACATACCACATGGCACACCCCACACTCGGTCCACACACACCACACAGCACATCCCACACTCAGTCCACACACACCCCACACGGCACACCCCACACTCAATCCACACACAGACCACATAGCACACCCCACACTCGGTCCACACACACACCACGCGGCACACCCCACACTCGGTCCACACACACACCACGCGGCACACCCCACACTCAGTCCACACACACACCACATGGCACACCACACGGCACACCTCACACCCACACACAGACCACACGGCACACCTTACACCCACTCACACCACCCTTAACTGCACACATCACATACCAGACTCAAATCCACACACACACCACACACATTCCTGCCACACACAGCACACTCGCCACACTCAATTCACACACGTACACACCCCGCACCCCACACTCAATACACATACACCACAGACACTCGCACACACACCCCACACACATGCGGCACACACATGCCACATGGGCACCCTCTCCCTGGGCTGGTGGGAGCAGAGGCCCCTGGAGGGAAAGGCCAGCCTCGTGCCCTGCAGCATCGCTCTGTAGGAGTCCATACTCCAGCGGGAAGAGTGAGGCACCAAAGCCAGACCCCCGTGAGACCCCGGGATGGGAGTGGTGAGCGAGCTCTCAGGTGAGGAGGGTGCAGGCACCGCAGGGCAGCGGGGGCAGCCTGTGGAGCTGGCAGGATGCAAGCAGGCCTGGAAGCCGGGTGCAGGGGCTTGCGCTTCATGGAGACCAGGAGGGCTCTCTGGAGGGTCCTGAGCAGGAAAGGGCCGAGGCCGGACTCCAGCCTTCTTAGAGCTCATACTGCCTGCAGGTGGAGAATGGGCCTAGCAGGGGACAGAGCGGCCTAAAGGCAGTGTGCGCTGAGGCTGCTGGCCGGGGATTGGGACAGCCCTCCGTGGACAATCGCACCGCTTCCCTCACCCACCCTCTGGTGACACATCCTCTGGCCACTGTTAGAAATGGAATTCCACTCTGTCAGGCCTATGGCAAACTGCTCAGAGGACACAGGACCCAGAGGAAGCTCAGGGGACATCCTGATTCCCGCCTCTGAACGGGGGATCCAGGTCACTCTGTCTCCTCACCATGCGAGGGGCCGGGTGCACCCGTGCCACCAGAGGGAGGGCGGGGCTGCCCAGAGGAGCACATGCAGGACACAAAGCTTCGTCAGGGGCACCACTGCAGCAGACCAGGCACCAGGCGACCAAGAGTCCACATAAGTGACACCTGGTGACAGGCCACTGAACAGCAGGCCACACGTGGGGCTCCTCAGGCACAGGCCCACTTCCTGAGTGCAGAGGGCTCAGTCCTGCCATTTGCTCAGGCCTCGCCAGTGTGGGCAGTGAACCTGGGGCTGTCCCACGCTCATGCCAGGAGCAGGGGCAGCCCTGACAGCGAGGAACAGGCATCGTTCCAAGATCTGCTGTCCCCCTGGCTTCTCCTGCTCTCTTATCTGCTCTGAGGGGAGCCAACTGGCACAGAGGGGTGAGCAGCCCCATGAAGGCCCATAGGGCAGGGAGCTGAGGGCAGCGGGGGCAGCCTGTGGAGCTAACAGGAACCAAGGCAGCTCCAAGGGGCGCCTGCAGCCGACAGCCCATGAGAAACTGTCTCTTGCTGACAGCCACGGGAGGGAGCTGGGAAGCCGGGCCTTCCCCAGCCAAGCCTTCAGATGAGCCTGCAGCCCTGCTGACAGCCTGATGGAGGCCTGCAGAGCAACCAGAGGACCCAGCTCCACTGGGCCCCGTTCCTGACCACGGGAATAATAAGGAGATAAAAGATGGCTGCAGTTTTAAGCCACTTAAAAAAGTAAGGAAGAAAAAAGATTCTTGGTCTCATAATTCCATTTCTGGAAATGGGTCCCAAAGAACCAGAAATGTTGAAAAAGCCTTAAAAATCATGATGTTCATGAGGGCGGGGCATGGTGGCTCACACCTGTAATCCCAGGATTTTGGGAGGCTGAGGTAGGTGGATTACCTGAGGTTGGGCGTTCCAGACCAGCCTGACCAACATGGAGAAACCCCATCTCTACTAAACACACAAACTTAGCCAGGCGTGGTGGCACATGCCTGTAATACCAGCTACTCGCAGGCTGAGGCAGGAGAATGGCTTAAACCCTGGAGGTGGAGGTTGCAGTGAGCCGAGATCGCACCATCACACTCCAGCCCAGGTGACAAGAGTGAAACTCCGTCTCAAAAAAAAAAATCGTGATGTTCATGATATTATTATTTAGAACAGCACAAAGGGAGTACAGGGACAACCTTAACATTCAGTGAGAAGGGCACGACTAATTAAATAGAAGAATAGCTTCTTATTGGATACCATGCCACCACTAAAAAGATGAGTTCTTTATGAAGTCTTTTAAATAAAACAAGGCCAGGCATGGTGGCTCATGCCTGTAATCCCAACACTTTGGGAGGCTAATGGTGGCGGATCACTTGAGGTCAGGAGTTTGAGACCAGCCCAGCCAACATGATTAAACCCCATCTCTACTAAAAACACAAAAATAAGCCAGGCGCGGTGACGCACATCTGTAGTCATAGCTACTTGGGGGGCTGAGGCAGGAGAATAGCTTGAACCTGGGAAGCAGAGGGCACAGTGAGCTGAGATGGTGGCACTGACTCCAGTGAGACTCTGTCTCCAATCAATCAATCAATCAATCAATCAAATGGAAACACTTATGTTAAATAACAGAGTCCCAGCCAGGTGCGGTGGCTCACGCCTGTAATCCCAGCACTTTAGGAGGCTGACGTGGGAGGATCACCTGAGCCCAGGAACTTGAGACCAGCCTGGGCAATATGGTAAAACCCTGTCTGTACAAAAAATACAAAAAATGGTCCAGGCATGGTATCATTTACCTGTAGTCACAGCTACTCATGAGGCTGAGGTAAGAGGATCACCTGAGTCCAGGAAGTCAAGGTTGCAGTGATCCATGATTGTGCCATTGCACTCCAGTCTGGGCAACGAAGTGAGACCCTGTCTAAAAAAAAAAAAAAAAGCACCAAACTGTAAATATCATATGAACACATCCCCATTAGACCCACAAAGAAAATGCTACTTTAAGCATAGCGAATAGGTAAGAAACAAGTTCACCAAAATGTTTATAGTGATGGTTTCTGTGCGGAGAATTATGGGTGATTTTTTCCTTTCTAGTTATTTTATTTTATGGTATTTTTGAGATGCCTGGCTGGAGTGCAGCTCAGGCTGGAGTGCAGCTCAGGCTGGAGTGCAGTGGTGCAATCTTGGCTCACGGCAATCTCCACCTCCCGGGTTCAAGCAATTCTCCTGCCTCCGCCTCCTGAGTAGCCAAGATTATAGGCACCCACCACATGCCCAGTTAATTTTTGCATTTTGAGTAGAGATGGGGTGGCCGGGCGTGGGGGCTCACTCTTGTAATCCCAGCACTTTGGGAGGATGAAGCAGGTGTATCACCTGAGGTCGGGAGTTTGAGACCAGCCTGGCCAACATGGTGAAACCTTGTCTCTAGTAAAAATACAAAAATTAGCCAGGCATGGTGGCAGGTGCCTATAAACTCAGCTACTCGGCAGGTTGAGGCAGGAGAATTACTTGAATCCAGGAGGTGGAGGTTGCGGTGAGCCGAGATCACGCCACGGTACTCCATCCTGGGCGACAGAGTGAGACTCCATCTCAGGGGGTTGAGGGGCAGGAGAAATAGAGACAGGGTTTCACCATTTGGCCAGGCTGGTCTTGAACTCAGGTGATTCACCCGCCTCGGCCTCCCAAAGTGCTGAGATCACAGGTGTTAGCCACCTCGCCTGGCCCCTTTCTAGTCTTCCTAGATTCAGACTTCTATCATGAGCAGTCACCTGACTGTAAATTCCTGTGGTCAGGGCTAAGTCACCTCGGTGTCACCCCGGTTTCACCCTGGTGCCCCAGCACCTAGCGTGACGCTAGCTTGATTTTTGCAGCATGAAGAAGTGAGCATGGCACTTACAATGGAAAAAAGCCCAATAGAAGTTATTTAACTAAAAACATTCACTTTCCTGGCAGTCAAAGTTGGAGCCACCCTGGAGAGCTGGGCGTGGTGAGCACACAGGCCCGTCTGTTAAGCTCTGCCAGCAGGGGCTCCTGACCCACGCCCAGCACAAGCAGCTGGAGGTCGGCCTCAGGGCCTGACAGCGCCCAGGAAGGATCCAAAACACCCTGCTCCACCCAGGAGCACTGTCCTCACCTGCACATCGCCCTGCGTCCTCCCGGCCCGCACTTCTGAGTGAGGTCACGCCCTGAGGTTTCAGAGCAAACACAACCTTCAGGACAATTTGACTAGAAAATTCAGGCCAAAAATCCATCCTGGGACCTTGGCTGCAGTATGGATTTTGTTGTTGTTTTTGCCCTGAATGAGTCAGTTAACGATTCAGATTAACAAGAGAGCCGAGCCTGGGGGTATCTGGGAGTCGTCGGGAGAACAGCTACGGGCCAGGGCCGTCAGCCAAGGGGCTGCTGGTGCTGGGAGGCCTGGGGCAGGTGAACGGGCGCACAGGCCAGCTTTGTGGGGGACGGGGTGGACGACTCAGCCCAGACCAGACATCTCCCCACCTCGGGTGATGCCTTGTGGGGTTAACTTTGAATGTCAGAGCCCAGAATTTGCACTCGGGGTCGCCTTCCATCCTGTCCCTTCTTTGGAGAGGCAGAAAGCCAGGCACCTGTGTGGGACTGGCCCAGGCCACGAAGTGGCTCCCCAGGTGTCCTGGTGGCACGTGGGGCAGGAGGGTTGTTTCAGTCAGGGTTTCAGAGGAGCAGAACCAGCAGACTGTAACACACATACAGGAATGGACTGTCAGGAACAGGTCCCTGCACTGGCTGGAGCTGCAGACCTGGAGTGTGCAGGGCAGGCGGCAGCCTGGAAACGCTGTGGGGGCTGATGTCGCCATTTCGAGGCTGGAGGCAGGTCCCCTCCTCTCCCGGAAGCCTCCGTCTTTCCTCTTCACGGCCTTTTCTGTTGTTTTGTTTCTTCAGTGTTGGAACATACATTTTCTTAGCAGAACTTATTAAGAACATATTACAAAAGAGTTTCAACAAGTCAATGATGGCATACAAAAGAAAGAAATATATATATATATATTTCAGACAGAGTCTTGCTCTGTCTCTCAGGCTGGAGTGCAATGATATGATCTCAGCTCACTGCAACATCCACCTCCCGGGTTCAAGGGATTCTCCCACCTCAGCCTCCCAAGTAGCTGGGGTTACAGGCACCCGCCATCATGCCTGGCTAGTTTTCATGTTTCTGTAGAGATGGGGTTTCACCATGTTGGCCAGGCCGGTCTTGAACTCCTGCCCTCAGGTGATCTGCCCGCCTCGGCCTCCCTAAGTGCTGGGATTACAGTCATGAGCCACTGTGCCTAGCCAGAAATATCTTTGAAAGTACTCATTACTTTCACTTTATTGGGAAGGTGGGCATTTTTTTTAATTTAATAATTGAGGGTATAGCAAATGTTTCTTTTTAATAGATGCTGAGCAGGATAGTAAGTAACTTACATGTTTAATATTCAAAGTTAAGACAGGCGCGGTGGCTCACGCCTGTAATCCCAGCACTTTGGGAGGCCGAGGCGGTTGGATTACGAGGTAAAGAGTTCGAGACCATCCTGGCCAACATGGCAAAACCCCGTCTCTACTAAAAATACAAAAATTAGCTGGTGTGGTGGTGCTCACCTGTAGTCCCAGTTACTTGGGAGGCTGAGGCAGGAAAATTGCTTGAACCCAGGAGGGGGAGGTTGCAGTGAGCCGAGATCGCACCACTGTACTCTAGCCTGGTGACACAGCGAGACTTCATCTCAAAAAAAAAAAAATTCAAAGTTAAAATACTTGGAAACAATCAGGTACGCAGGAAAATGGAATGGCGTTTCTCCACGCTTGTCTTTCCCTAGCCAAAAGAGGCAGAAGCTCTTTTTCTGAGTCTCTCAGAAGAAATTCCAAGAAGACCAGAAGCCGTCAGCATGAGGGTAAATGTCTAACTCTTGAAACCACAGCCCGAGAGCCCAGGGCCCTATAGAAACTGCATAATTTGGAGGACATGGAATTTGTGATGATATTACCAGGTAAGCTCATCTCAGAAATGATATTGGTAATTCTATTTCAATATAGGTTGTTATAACTAATAGAAAATGAAGAAAACCAAGGAGGAGTTTGAATAAGGACCTGTGAAGCCATGTCACCTGGCACTCTGTAGAAGCAGGTGTCACCCGATGCTGAAGCATTTGACTCAGGTGGACCCCTTGGTTTCGGCCAGACCCACACTCGTGGAGGTGACAGCCCCCGTGACTTTGCAGCCTTTGCTTGGGGTCTCTGGGCTGTGGACGTTAATGCATGGTCAGAAAGAAAGGGCAAGGCTGCGGAGCAAAGGGACTGCTGTAGTTTTTGAACTTGGCAAAACTTTATTCCTGAGGGAAATTTCAGTATAGTTATTAAAAACAATGACATGCGCTGGGTGTGGGCGCTCAGGCCTGTAATCCCAGCACTTTGGGCGGCTGAGGCGGGTGGATCACCTGAGGTCAAGAGTTCAAGACCAGTCTGGCCAACGTGATGAAATCCTATCTCTACTAAAAATACAAACCATGAGCCGGGCGAGGTGGCAGTGCCCGGAGTCATTCCCCAGAGGTGGAGGTGGGCTCTAAGTCACCGCAGGCCTCACGGGATGTCCCTTGGTCCCCCATGTCTGGTTTCTCTAACAGTTAGTCCCCTGAGGAATGGCCACAATAGCAGGTTTGGAAAGCAGCCGACACAGCAGAGATTTCCGTAATAATTTGAGATCATCTGGGCTCCAGCTCCCGGGCACTGTCTCAGTTCATTCCCGAAGTGTGAAACTGTGATATTAGGAATTCGAATGCGGCCAGTGCCTCCTGACCCCCGGCCTGTCCTTTCAGAAGGGTGTCACGGGCCACTCTGCATCCGGGTGGGTAACTCTGGGGCCTGTTACTTAACCCTCGATATTCACTGACTTTGGTCAGTTCACCAATCCCCAGTCTCAAATTTGCTAACGTAAATGCTATGCCCTTTTCATAGAGCTGTCATGCATAAAAATTGCCACTGTGTTCCCTCGCTCTGTCCCCCAGTGAGCCCTGCAGCGGGTGGCCTGCTGCCTCGCTGGGAGGTGTGGGAGGTGCTTTGAGGACAAACCCACATGTGCTGGTGACAGCTGCGCCCCCTTCCCTCCGTGGTCCTGTCTGACTGCCAGTCCAGGGCCCCTTACCCAGTCCAGGATGGCACTACATCCTTTTGCATGCCTGAGAGAGAGCAGACCTCGCATCACTGGCAGTTGTGGGCTGGCTGGCCAGTGCTGATAGCAGGAAGGAAAAATGGGCAGAGGACGTCTGAGCCTGGATTCCTGCTCTTTCTGCCAGCTCTGCCCTGGACTCCCACCTCCTCCCAGTTCCCATCCAAAGCAGAGAGGAATCACAGGCAGAAGGGGAAAAGGAAAAGAGAAAAGAGGGGTGCAAGGACCAAAGAGGCACGCTTCAGGCGCCACAGAGTGAGGAGGGCGCACCCCAAACCGCCATCGCCATAATCCGCTATCGACTGGGCATTTTCACCTGCCCACTCCTGCACTGGCTCTCTGTATAAGTGATCTCACCGACCGAAGCGGGTCACAGCCCACCTCGCACCTCCCTGCTTTTCTCTGCTGCCCTCTCTCAGTCATGCAAACTCATTGTCCATCTTAACAATATGGCTGAAATGGGGAACGTGCCACTTCAAATGTCAATCTCTTAATTCGAAGATGTGCAAGGACGCACCTTGTACACAGTGTTTCACTCTATCATTTCTGCAGGGCTGTCATTTTATAAGGTTATGTGTTCATCATAAACTCTTTTTTAATGTTATGATTTTGTGGGGCGTTGAGACAGAGTCTCTCTCTGTCATCCAGGCTGATGTGCAGTGGCACAGTCTCGGCTCACTGCAGTCTCTACCTCCCGGGTTCAAGCGATTCTCCTGCCTCAGCCTCCCAAGTAGCTGGGATTACAGGCATGTGCCACCACGCTCAGCTAATTTTTGTATTTTTAGTAGAGACACGGTTTCACCATGTTGGCCAGGCTGGTCTCGAACTCCTGACCTCAGGTGATCCACCTGCCTTGGCCTCCCAAAGTGCTGGGATTACAGGCGTGAGCCACTGCACCCGGCCTTGTTTATTTTATTGAAATCGCTGCAGCAGACTTTGAATGCCTCATTTTCACTGAGGAAGAGGTGGATTTTAGGTTTGAGACACAGCACCTGCCCTTGACAAGCTCACAAACTTGTAGGAGAGACTGGCATAGACCTGAAAACCACATGTAGAAGGGACCAGGCATCACTCCCAGGGAGGGAGCTGTCCAAAGATGCTCCTCTTGTCCAAAGTGAAATGGCTCCTACTACTCAGCCTCCACTGTGCTGAATTCTGCCTCTAAAGAACCCAGAAAATGCTGTCCCTCAAGAGAATTCCTTAAGTAATTACTTGAGTCCATGAGTTCTCCTAGAAGCATTTCCTAAGTTCAACTGAAGAAAACATTTTCTTTTGAGCCATACTTCCTTTCACTGGTATAATCCTGTATAGGTAGGCAAAGCCCTTTTACTTGTATTGTCTACTTTTATTCTTACAACAAACTTAGGGAGTGGGTAGGAAAAAACCTTCCCTTGACCGGGCGTGGTAGCTCACGCCTGTGATCCCAGCACTTTGGGAGGCCGAGGTGGGTGGATCATTTGAGGTCAGGAGTTCCAGAACAGCCTTGCCAATACGGTGAAACCTTGCCTCTATTAAAAATACAAAAATTAGCTGGGCATAGTGGTA